ATTTTCTTATAAATTACAAGATCATTTATTCCTAAACTTCCACAAAAACAGTGAAACTCCTATTACTTTATATAAATTCAATACACGTGGTCATATATTTCAAGTCTTCTTCTTGAAGCTTTGATAATTATAGCTTGCATCTAAATAAAAAACTCATTTTACTTTACCAGAGGAATAGAGTATTACATAAGACTGACAAAATAATGAATTCCTACCCTATGGAAAAGTATATCCATGCACTGCACAGCATGTGCAATTAATGCGGGGTGGAAGCTGTTTGTGCATGAATTACTGCGTCAGTCCAGCCCGGCATCGAGGCAATTAGCCTGTGGTTCTGCTGAGGTGTTCAGGAAGCCTGGGTTGCTTTAAAAGCCACTTGTGCAGCTGCGATGCTGGCTCTGGTGCCGCTCATCTTCCTCTGGACAATACTCCATAGAATTTCCACAGGTTTCACTGCTGGCCAATCAGACGCAACGATACTGTGGTCGTTAACACACGTATTCTTTTTAGCAGCGTGGGCAGGTGCCAACACCTGCTGGAAAATGAAATCAGCATCTCCATAAAGTGGGCGCTGGACTTGATGCGCTTTGGACCGACACCAGCAGATGACACAGCTTCCTGATTCATCACTGATTGTGGAAACTTCACGTTGGACCTGAAGCAACTTGGTTTCTCTGTAAGTTAGGTTTTTTTGTTTTTAGTCCATAGTGTTGTTGATAAAGACATTGAAAACTCTGTAGATTTAAACGCTCTGACAGAAGACAATAATGCAAACAGTACGTACAAATATTTTCAGACACATGGTTGCTGTGTCTGCTGTTCTTTATGCGGTTTATTCTGAGAATTCCACTTTCTGCTAAAGCTAGCATCATTTGTTGCTAGCTTTGGCAGCTAGTAACAAATGCTGCATCTAGCTTGCTTTTTTCCACTGAAGCTGCCACAGAGAAGGAACATTTTAAATTTAAGAAGTGAATTCCTCATTGTAAGCCATTTCATTTTCTAAAAACAAAAAAATGTCATAAGCTTGCTCATGTATTCTTAAGTTTGAAGGATATGGCTCCTTGGTGAGGTGTCTGGCACAGCTCTGGGAATGACTTGTCCTTTGAGGTGGTCCTAATCAGGGACTGGAGCAGTTGTCGTTCCTGTGGGATTTGCGTTAGCTGATATTCTTTGTCATGAAAGTAACAGGAAGAGAGACTGAGAGGCACATTTCACAGAATTGTGATGTTCCATCTGTACTGCTGCTTTTCCCAGGTCAACCCGCCAGCTTTTAGTTCCCCTGGAATCAGACGGACATCATTAATCAGGAGTACAATGAACAAATCTGGTGTTCGCTATCAGAAATAAACTTTTTTTATTTTAGATGGCCAGTGTTTTTTATAACTTTAAATGATCCTGTGGTTTACTTCTGCCTGACTAGAAAATATTATTTATTTATTTAGTTAGATATTATAATTATTTTATTAGCAAACCATGCTAATCTAACGTTTGTTTATTTTCCCACCATATAGCTAATGCTAAAGTTGGACACTTGGCCTGCTGGGTTTAGTTTCTCTTTTACCAAAACAATTTAGTGGACTTAATGTAATTAATTAATCACATTTTAATCAAATTGTATATGGATCAAAAAAACAAAAATTTCAATAAAAATATGCTTTTGGTACTAAATTATTGAATGAAAGGGCAAATGAGATCAACAACAATATTTATTGTTTTTGACTAGTTATTTAAGTTATTCAACCATTAAACAAAGTTCTACCCATTTATATTTCAAGTGTTTCCACAACCCCTGACCACTCATGTCACTGGTTGTTGCAATAGTGCTGTGGATACTGTGGATGCTAGCAATAGCATTGGGAATGTCTGAGCTTAGCATTGAGATGCTAATTTAGGTTTGAATAGCTTCGCTGACACTCTTTTTTTTATACAACTTGAACACGTCTCTTCAGATCGGTTTTTTGAAGCAGAAATTAATCCCTAGTGGATGAAGAAAAGCGGTTTTGTCGTAAGTTAATGTTAGAGAATGTCGCTCGCGCGTCAAATTTACGGATGTATTAGAAACACGTGAATACAAAGGTTTCGGCCAGAAACTTCGCGGATTTTTGTGCATTGTTTTTCACAGTGCATTGTGTTCTGCGTCCTGATTGGCTAAATAGTCTCCGAGCTCCTTCTCTACCTGTGTGCCAATAACGTTACGGTATATAAATATAAATAATACAGCTTGGCCATTCAAGAGATGAAAGCTGAAAACTTTGAATGCCTGCTGGAAAAAACTGTGGCCAGGGGCAGCAGAACCCGACCGGAGGCTCGCTTGACGAGATCCATTGCTCTGCTGTAAATACAGCTGTGAATCTCTCGGGGCAGGTTGGAGGAGATGCTTTAATGACATGACTCCGGATCACATTAAGGCCCCATTGATGAACACGCACATCCGCTGACCTGAAAACAGGTTTTGTTCTTTGGTTTCAATGTAGAGTATTTATGCTGTATAATTGTAAAAACTAAAGGTAACTACTTCGCGGATTTCACTTATCGCGGGTTATTTTCGGAACGCAACCCCTGCGAAAAACGAGGGATCACTGTCTTTGAATTAGAATCTTTTCACATTTCTTAATAAGTACTAGCTCTAGCTGCAGTGCAGGCCTTTTGGATCCTTTTGAATAAAACTCTTGGTAAGGTTTTTTTTTTTCACAATTAGCTTAAGGCTACTGTAATCCCTGTTGCAAACAATCCTTTTTCTCACATTTTTTCTTCCCACTCAATTTTCCAGCAGCTTACTTCTTTGCCAGTGACTTTTTGTGGCATATCCTTTTTTGTGAAAGTGGTTAACGATGGTCTTAGGTCAAAACATTGAATTTTTCTATTAAAAAGCCTGCTTTTTTTTATTGATATGAAGTAATAACATTTTTATGTGAAATTGAATTTTAAGTTTTTATTAGCTCTAATCTATAATAATCAAAGTAAATACACAAAAAAACATTTGAAATATAAATTTGTGTAATAAAATTCTCAGTGTATGAATTTCATGTATGAATACACATTTATGCCCTAAAATTATTGATACTCTTGGCAGATTTCATGGTTTAAAAATAATCTTCATGTTATCAACATGTTTCATCTGATTGGAAATTAAATTAATATTTTGGACTGCCCACACCAGGGCTTTGAATCTAAAAGACTTGGAGCTCAATATAGATAGCTTAAACTCCAGTGGAAACAACTGGTAAGCAATTATAAGAAGGGCTTTATTGCTATAAAACCAATAACGATTCCTTCATTGATTAGGATAAAAGGAAAATGTTTTTTTTTTTTTTTAATGAAAACAGATGAAGTATTTTTTTTTCTGCAATCTGAGTCTTGCTGGGTAGTACGAAGAATCTGGGGTTTAACTGTAGTTGCATCAGATTAATGACTAATCTACTTCCCCTGCTCGTAACCCAGGGTAACTGTTTATTTGTAGCTTTTTGTTTATATTATCTCGTAAAGTTGTCAGCAAACGACCTGGCTATGTTCCAACTATTTAAACTTTGTGCTAGCATATGTTCAGCTACTGAGAAAAGTAAATTTAGAGTTCTGCAGGTTTACTCTGCGCTGTAAATCACAGCCGTAGGATTAGTGATAAGGACCCACTGGAGGCCTGAGGCGAGCTAAAACCTGAAATTTGATTTGTGTACGTGTGTCTTTGGAAAGGGAGAGGAAAGCCTGTGTTTGTATGCGTGCGTGTGTGTAATGGTTTATCTATCCCACTTATGATACTTCTCTTGTATTTTCACTAAAGCCCGGTCCACATGGCAAGATTTTAAAGATGTCGGCCAACATGAAACCCAAGAGACCACAAACACAACGACAGAAAACCTTAGCTAAAACAGGATAACATGAAGATTATTTTTAAATCATCGAATATGCCAAGAGTATCAATAATTTTAGGGCATAAATGTGTGTTTATGCCCATGCATAAACACACATTTGGTCATGCAGTGTGTGATGTACACAACATCACACACCACACGCAACAAAATCTCACTCCCCAACATTCAGATGCGAGATGGGAAATCTCACTAAACCTCTTGAGACCAAACGTGACTTCAGAGTAAGCAAATATGGTCATCTGGGAAGAAGCAGTGGTAGTAGTTTGTGGACTGTTTTTAGCATAAAAAAAAACAATTCAAAGACATCTACAATGTCCACTGGACGTTCTGGTGCGCCATGGCAGTTCTTTTTTTTTGTTGTCTTCTGTATTTTTTTAATTCCCCTTCGTGTTTCCGTCACCTCGCTTTCTGATTTATCTAAACTTCACGTTCAAAAGGCTGCGTTCACCTTCCTCCTCGTTGAACACTGCATTCTGCCATACGGGACCAGGACAATCCAACATGTTGAATGCCCCCAACAGGGGAGCAACTATTACTTTCTGAGGTGAATGCAGACCCTCTGTGCGAAGCAAAACATAGAATCAGTAGTGGGTTTTTACCAGACTGCTTCCAATGTGACCTAGGCTTAATATTCTGAAAATACCTGTTCCTAATTTGGCGGTCGTCCTCTTATATGCTGCTTGGAAGTTAGAATAGAGGGTCTGGGCTCTTGACTATTGAGAAACACTTGCTTCCTGGAGGCATGGACTCTGTTAAAGTTTTAGATGTTACCCAGTTGCTAATGTTTGGCTGACGTGTGTAATGTGCCAGTTTGACGGAAATTGTCAGTTCAATATTTGGAAGCGTGACCAACATGGACTGAGCGGCTTTATTGACTCCCTCCACTGCCATTGCTAAAACTACAGGCAGACTACAAAACAGAGCGGAGAATCAACATCATCGTTCCGAACTCCTCCTTCTGTTCGCTGATTGGCCCGGTAGAAATTGTGCTGGAGGAATCCAAGTGAATGGAAGAAATCTAGACTGGAGCACTGAAGGGACGATGAGAATCAGGCAGAATAACACAGGAATCCAATGGCCAGGCTAGGTTAGAGGTATGGTGTGAATTAAGCTTTGGTTAGGATCGTACTGTTCATGGTTACTGTTAGGGTAAGTGTAAGTTAGGTTTAAATCCAGTTCTTAAAATAAATGGAAGTTAAAACAAACTCCTAATATGGGTCGAAATACAACCTTGTCTGTGTGCGTGTATGTGCAACAAAAAGCCATGAAAACAGCAGCAGGGGAGTGTTGTGGTCGTTTTCATTCCCTCTCGCAGGCAGCAGGCTCTAATGAAACAATGACTTTAATTGCGTGTCTGCTGCCATCCAAAAACATGGGAAAATGAAAACCACAACTTGGACAGCACTTTGAGAATCAACTCATTATTAAAAACAATGGAGAGGCTGCATTGTTCCTTTTAGTTTTTTTTTTTTTTTTAACTAATTTAGCCAAAGGGGAGAAAAAAAGAAAAATATGCAGAGCGAGAGTTGGCTTTTATTGCCCTTCGGGGCAGCTTTTACAACACGACTCTGACCTACTATTGTCAGTACTCGCCAGTGTGGAGCACATCGGTAGTTATGAGCGCACAAACACATAGAACCCTCCTGTAGGATGTAAACGTCCTTCCTCGAATGCTTCTTTTTGTTTCCCCCATCCCCTTTTCTTTCCCTTCTTGATTGGATTTTTTTCCTTTGTGTCCATTTGCTTGGAGTGTTTGAGTGAGTGCCTCAAAACATCCTGGCCCTCTCCACAAAAAGCCACTTCTGGTCGAGGAGGAAACTGTGCATCAATGTGGAAAAATAGCTTAGAAGTTGTTTTTTTTTTCTTACAGCATTTATACCCAGCAGGAAGCTGGAGAAAAAGGGGTCCCTGGACACCATGGAAACGGGCAGCTGTGAGCAGAAAAAGAAAGAGGGAAAAAATAAGAAAAGAAAAATTAGGGTAAATGGAGAGCTGCCATTGTTTGGTACAAAGTTCATGTATTTATTGTAACTTGAATGCACTTTATGGGTCACAATGGAACTCTCCCATGGACTGGAGTGGAAGAAACATGTAGATCTTGGGCTTCGGTGCAAGAAATAGATGTACATCAACTAGCCCTGCTATTCATACCACATGTTTTCTCACTTTAAAGCCACAAACTTAAATATATGTAAGACTTTTTAGCCTGTTTGTAGTGGGAAAACTAACGCCGTACATGAGCCTCTGTGAGACATGTTGATGGCAGAATCATGCTGCAAGGGATACTTTTTCCTCAGCAGGGGCAAGTTAGCTGGTCATAGCCGATGGGAAGATGGACTGAGCTCAAGAAATGGCTGTTTATGAAGAAAAAGCTGTAAAATACTGAATGTCCAGTGGCGCTTCCAAGAGGGGGAGGAGAGGGGGCTTGTGACCACCCCTGACAAAATGCTGGTGCTCCCAGAGAATGCTTTTCAGTTCATACAAAACCATAGAGTAATTTACTTCGATGAAGACACAAATATTTATAATTTTTATATGCATTACTATTTTCCTGTTTTTGTAGATATATATTTTGCTGTATTTATAAGGTGTTTTAAATTCTGTACTTTTTTCACAATTTTTTTGTAGACAGCAATGTAATTTTTTTATTGTACAAGAAAATGCTTTAATTGTAAACAGGACAAATAATAATACTAATAATTTATTCATATGGAGGTTTTCTAAACACTCACACTTTACAGAAATTAAGTAAAACTATGAAGACAACACACATATATATGTGTAAGTAAAATGTATTTTTTTTATTTTTTTTATTTTGTTTAGTTGTGCCACTGAAACTTTTGTCCTAGCTGCTGCTCTAAACTTGCAGCCAGATCTACAATGGAATATTTCCAGTCAAAGCATGTTCATGTGTTGGTTTTGCTCAAAGCATCCACATTAATCCGGTTGATACTTTCTCTCCAGCTCTCTGTGAAGGTGGATGCTTTTTCCTCTGCTCCTCTACCTTCCCATTCTCTCCCTGCTTGCTCTCTTTTTTTTTGTTGTTGTTGTTGCTTTTTTGGAGCTTTTCTTTGCACATCTTCTGGATCTACACATTATGGATCTGGTCAACCGGTCTCTCAATGCCAATTGATCAAACTTTCTCATCGAGAAGACTGGGCACAGGAGAGCCCTCTTGTCCTGCGGGGACACACCCAACGGGATTCACCCTGGATTTATTCATAACAGGATTTCTGCTGTTTGGAGCTTGCGGATACCTGGCTTATCGATAAATTTGTGACTGATTTGGCCAAGCTAGCGAACGCTCAGACTGCATCTTGTGGGACAGAGACGCAAGTTGGATGCGAGTCTTTCCGAGACTCGCAGCCCAGCTGAGGACTCAAAACTCACCAGCGGGATGGAATCGATCTTGGAGAAGTTGTTAGCTTCGGTTCAGTGGAACGGCCACACTAATTTGGATGATTGGGATGAACTAAAAGAGACATACCGGTTAATGACTCGAGGGCAGACAGAAATTTTAAGTCTGCCTGATCTAAAAAGAATTTGTTATTCTGAATCTGGCTTCCTGTGGCCTTGGCGGCTATCTCACCCCTCCTGAAGTCACCCGGGGAAACTTATGGCTGAACTCTCAAGGACTTGCTCTTGATATTTCAACCTTTATCAGAGACTTTTATTTGGGAGAACAAGCTGGGAGAGACATGGGCTGATCTGCAAAGTTACATCACAGTTACAAACACTCCCTGACCTCAACATCTTTGTCAGCATATCTTTGTTTTTGTCTTGCTATATGTGCCATATCCTACTCAATGTAGTCTTTTCATCTTACTTATCAGTTACTTTTTAGATTATTACCTGTTAGAAACTGTGGAGTGCTCACTTTTAACCCAGAGAAGGAATTAGAACAAACTTGAATCCAGAAAAACTAGATTAGCAACTACTTTTTAGATTCCTATTCTTCCAATCCAGAAAATGAATTAGACTAGAAGTTTCTTACTTACTAGGAACAGCTAGTTTATATACTTTGGATCAACATTATTAGCTTTTTCTTCTTTTGCTCTTTCCTTTGGTTTGTTATTTTGTTTGTATTTCCTTTTAATTCTTGTAAAGCACTTTGAATTGCCTTGCTGCTGAAAATGTGCTATATAAAATTACATTACATTAAGAACCTGTGGTTTGAAATCCGATGTTGCCAGACGCTCTCCATCCAACCTGACCTTGCTTGAGGTGTTCTGTATAAAACCGTGATTTCTGATTTCTGAAACTGCTGCTACAAAGTCCTGAAAACAGACGTTCCAGATTGTAATTCTGAAGCAAAATGAAAAAAAAGCATACAGCACTTTTCTTCAGTTTGACAAACATGCACTAGTTTTTCCACATAAAATTAATGTAATGTGTGTATATATATATATATATATATATATATATATATATATATATATATTTTTTTTTTTTTGCCATGTGGAGGAGTTTGAGGGGTGTGAACTGGCATGAAGTTTATCTTTCTGAAAAACTAGCATCTTTGATGAAATTCTGTGGCAGGACGGACAAAACCTTAGAAACCCAGCAGCAGACCAACTTAACCTAATGAGACAGGGTTGTTGGGTATTTTAACCACTGCTCCCTGTAACCATTCCTCTCTTAACTGGAGGTATAAACTCCCCCATGATCACTCTCACTCTGCTTTGCCTCTAAACATTTGCAAGCGCAAAACAAACAATAGGAACCATCCAGCAACAAATGTAATAATTATAGAATAATGAATCAGAAGTAAGATAACATTCTAAAAACTGATGTTTTTTTATACATTTTCTAACATTGCACTAGAAAGTAGACCAAGAATAACTTGCTAAGGTTTTGTGTTTTTGGAGCGCAGCGAGTGAAGAAAAATGCTGATTCACACAAACATATAGGAGCCCGGCTCCCACACACACAGAGCCACCACATGAAACATCAGCTCTGCGTTAACAGATAAGGACAGCTTTGGATGGTGACACCAACTATCCATCACACAGGCTTATCTGTCGGCCATGCTGGGAGCTTCGACACAACGCGACCAGATGGAGGGAGGGAAGGAAAGGAGGCAGCGAGGGGAAGGCTGGCTCTGCTGCTCTGAGAATTACTCCCAATAACTGTTTGATGTAGCAGAGAGAAGAGGGTGAAGAACAGAGAACTAGTTGTTCTTTCACAGCACATTATCAGTTAATTAAAGCTGTAAAGGCACAATTTTGTTAAATGATTTTATGAAAGCATGTGTTTTTCAGCAAGAGTAATGTGTGACAATAAAACAAAATCTATCAACGTTGGTCGAGAAGAGAAACATTTTTTCTCCTCCTTTCCCTGCAATATTTTCGACATTTACGACTTCTGGTGTTGTCGAGTGTTCGCCGCTTTTCAGCTGATCCTGGACCCTCACGATCACTGCAAACCTCCGCGCCAAGCTCCAGACAAAGACGACTTAAGACAAGAAATACTTGGATACTCAACATTGTTCATTCTGAGTCAATTTAAAAAAAAAAAAATAAATCATCTCACTTTGAAATGTGACCAGGGCTAGTCCAAGATTTTCTGGGGAGCTGAGCAAAATGCAATTTGAGGGCCCCCAACCAGATTTGGTTGGTCAAGTTTAAGATTGATCACTGATAATTGCTTATTGATTTGACGAGATGTACTTGTGAGCAGGTTGTAGCTATGGTAACACACCAACCAAAGTAAGAGGATTAAACTTTGCTCTTTTACAAAGTACATGTAATAATTCCTTTCAATTTTAAATGTTGAACAATATCAGATGTAAATTAAATGCATAATTAAATGTAAGTAAGTTAAATTAATTTCTTATCAAAAAAATGTTGCATCAAATTAAACGATATGCACATTCTCAATAAATAAACATTACAGTTCTGGACCATCGGTCTGTGCAGAAAGGCCCTGAAGATCTGAATGCTTCCCACATTAATCTGGCTTTTCACTTAAAGAAAGGTTCAAATGGCAAACCTAAATCATTTAGTCTTTGTTGTAAATTGATAAACTTCTGTTTTACAGATTTCAAAGGGAAAAAAATGAATTGGCTAAATTGGCCATCACCTGCTAAAAGCTTCAAAAAATGTAGAAATGAGTCTTCCAGCTAGTGAACATACATTTAGTTTTTTATTCTCTCTCCGGTTTGACCCTAAATATAAGGGGAAAGCAGCTGGTGTTGGTAAACTACAGCGAACTCAGAGTGCTGTCTGAACCCGGGGTGGGGCTGGATGTAAGCATTTAAACGTCCCATGGGAAATCAGCACGAGGGTTGCAGGCCGTGTCATGAAGCGCATATCGAGCTTATATTCCTCTCCTCGAGCAACATTCCGATGGTTGCAACATGCATTATCATTATTTCAAAAATGATTTCATCTTCTTCGAACCGCCGTTCACTTGAAATAATGAGGAAAGTGTGCCAGACACTGAGCATCCACCTGCGCATTAACTCTGCTGAGGTAATGACTTCCATCTTCTCCTTGCCTTTCGCCTGACATGCTGTTTGCTTATCGTCGCTGACTGCTGAAATGTTTGTTTTCTTCAAGCAGTCATCACTACAAGGCTCTCTGGACTTCCTTGCACGAGCAAAGCTTTTGGCATTATCTCCTAGACCAATGCAGATTGGTGAGTCATCAGCGAATATCACTTTCATCCAATCATCCAGAGTCCAATGCCTGCTTCTCTTTAGCCCACTCCAACTTTGTTTTCTCCTCTACCTAACTGTTAATAATGGTTTCCATTTGGAGTGGATGCACGTTCCCCCGGTGACCTTCGGTGTATTTTACAGTTTGTTCAGGAGCATTTTTCTGCCGGTTGACTGCCTCGATGTTTTGATGTCTGACTTAAGCAACTGTCCTGCTGTCTACATCTGTTGAAGCGTCTACCAGCACACATTTTATATGGGTATTATTTATTAAAATTAAAAAGTCCTGTGTGTTTTAAGATGGGTTATGTTAAGACTGTTTCTTTGGGCCCATCTAACTTTCCCCCCCTTTTTCACACGTTATGATAACCTGACCATCTGTGGTGAAAGTTCAAAAAATATATTTTCCAAATTAATCAAATATGTCTAACACCAATGTCGTGAGCAATTCCAAGTATTCAGCATTCAAAGTTAAGTTAATCTTCAACGGCGTAGAGAGAGTGTCTGCATATGCATATAGCATGATAATTAAGTATTCAGACTTTTTTTTACATTGAAGTTTTATTTACAGACCCTTTCAAAAAACATTTTTCTTTTAAAGTCCATTTATTGTAGGAATTTTATCACCAAGTGAAACTTATAAAGATTAATTTCACACAGATGGATGCTTGAAAGCCTTTATTTATCTGAGTTATTGAAATCATGGCATTTAAAATTAGAATATTACATCAGACAAGTAAAAAAAATTAAAATTTTTTAAAATTAAAAATAGAAATGTGGTCTTATTGGCATATGACTAATACCTCCTTAAAGATTGGTATTTTCCAAAGGTATTTTTAGTGACGAGACTCATCAGGACGTATATTCTGATTCATTGAATATGACTGTAATAGCAGTGGAGCTTAATGTATTTCTCTTTTCTCTTTTCCTGCCTCTGGACAAATTTTAAACAAATCTGTATTAAAACGAGCTAACATTCTAACTTTCACTCATTAACATAATGTCAAGATATTTTGAGTTCTACATTACAAGATTAACATTTTGAGGTTTATTTATTTGAGCAACCGTGACATTTTCTTCACGATTGTTTTCCAGAGTCAGAATGTTTGACTTTTTGAATCTTTTTGTGTCATCTGTGGAGAAGGCCTGAGCTGCCTCGGTGGGTAAAACCCTTGCTTTGGTTTCACACGGCTGGCACCTAGCAAAGGTCAAGTAAGGGAAACAGTGAGTGATGCCAGGGTGTTGGAGGACCAAACGCCATGTTCCTATAATGTGTATTATGTGTTAGGTGGCAGAATGTTTTTGTACTTATTGGAGGGATCTCATGAACACTCCATTTTCTGAAGGTTGACGAGTCTAATGGCTGCACTGTTACAGGGCCAAGACTCACTTTGCGGCGTATGACTGCTAATGGAGTGTGGCCTTACAGCCTCGCTTATGACAGGGGATTTCTTAAAACCGGTTTTGTCATTTATAAGTGTTAGAAAGCAATGACTAAATTTAGAATGAAAAATAGGCCATATTAAGAAAAAAAAGGTCATGTGATAACACCCTGCCTAGTCCTAATGTCGATGTAAATTGCTAAACGGACGGGCGTCTGGATATGCCTTCACAGAGGAGTATTACATTTGCACGTGGATTTGTACTTGTAAGTCAAAAATTTCAGTTTCAGGTCTAAAAAGTTTAAAGTTGATGTTCTAGCGCAAAAAGTTCTTATAGTAACAACTGCAATCGGTCAACGATTTTATAGTACTTTTTGGATTGTTTGAATTCACAACAAATTCAATCATTGCCATTGAATTGTACTGATATCGGAACTAACTTAGCACTAGACTTTCTAGACTTGGAGAAGATGACACCCGAAAAACTCTAAAAGAAATCTTACAATATGATTGCTGACAGCTAAAAATA